AAAATTAAATTTTTAGAAAATTTAAAATATCTGTTGTTTAATACAATAATGGTTTAATGAAATTTGTGCTGATTAAAATTGTTATTTCAAGTGTAAATTTATTTTTCAGTAAATTATAAAAAATTAAAATTCTAAAATATGTATTTTGGCAGATAATAGTAAAAATATTTATATAAAGCATGCAATTTCTAGCTACAGCACTGAACTAAAATATATCTGCTGTATTTTTCGTTTGATGGATATCGTTAGTATAGCAGATTGCGCAGCGTGCGTACCTCGCGCCCAGCGGACCCGTGTTCGCTCCCCGTTACCCCCGAGATTTTTCGTTGAAATTGCGTTCTCTTGGTGTTTAAAAGTTGATAATAATAGTTGTATAATAAATTACTAATACAAAAATATTTGTTTCAGTCGTCATTACAGTGCAATCAAAAAGTGGTTGTTTCAGTGTACCAGAAAATATTTGTGATCCTTTTACACAAGTAAAATTTTTTTTTAAAATTAAAAATTAAACAGTATTGACAAATATTATGCTTTTAACAATTTACTATACATTATATTTTCTTGAAATAATTTAGATTATAATTTAAAAAAATTAATGTAATTATATAATTTATTATTGTATAATTAGTTTCTTGCATTAAATCTTAATATTAGACAAATTTTGAGAATATTTAAAAGAAATAATTTGTCTAGTTTTTCTAACGGATCGTTGATCAGAATTTATCAAGTTGGGCTAGACAATAACTAGACGAAAAAAGCGTGACATTCCATTCGAGTAATTAGCCAGTTGCAGTGTTAAGTTACTAGACAGCTTCTAGCGCAACTGTCCAGTGCCACGATAATTACTGGGACAAATTTCTACTATAGGGTTACGGTATATAAGATCAATGGATAAAGTTTAAAAATTTATTTGAAAAACAAAATAAAATATTTTTGTCACGTATTGAAACTTTGAAGAGTGGAATCAATGAAATATGAAATAAAACGTAACCCCTTTTTAAAACTTTTGTTAGCCTATGATAAAGGCTCTAAAAAAAAGCTTTTGTTCGGGATATGCATGAATAGATTTTTATATAAATAACAAAAAAAATATTGTGAATAATAACAAAATGATTTGAAAGAGGGATACTTTTATTTTATTTTTTTGACAGTTTATATTTTGATATATACAAGATCAATTAAAAAATATATTTTAAGTTATTGAATTTCAAGATTAATTATTTGTCGTAAGTTAAAAAAAAAAGAAAAAAATTGAAAATGTCACTATATATATAATCGCTTCTTTGGATAAGATTCACATAATTTTCGTTTCCATTGTCTTGATGCGCAAAGTGAAGATCTTTTCCTCACTTTTTCTCAGGGAAGAAAAAATACAGCAAGACAAATGATGAAAGAAGAAGAAAAAAAGTATAGCGAAGAATGCAAAGTGTCGGAAAAAAGTTTCAGCGGCTCTAAGTAATACTTGAGGATTTGATTTAAATTATTATTACTGTGGATTTAAATTTTTTTTTTTCAGGTCGACAAAATTCAATTAATTACAATATATTACAAGGAAAGAACATTTAATTTAAAGAAGAGCAAAAAAATTCCATATTATTAAAATTTACGAAAATTAAATTTTTATTACTTTCTCAACTGTAGGGTAATTCTTTTAAGAAATATTAAATAAATAATTTATTATAGAACAAATTTAAATAAATGTTAAAACAATAATATCAACGTCTTCTTGGATATCGTCTTTTTCATGATAAAAATGCGTTTCATGTCTGACTAAAATATTCCACTTCGCCTTTGAGTGAAGACCGAAAGGCACTGTGAAACATGAGATGAATATTCAGTGAAAAAATTCAATTTCGCAGGAAATTATTTTTTTCTCTCTACAGTTTAGCACTTATTTTTAAAACAGTAAAGAAAGATTTGTAATTTGTCAATATACACACACTGTATATATAAATTAACAACTATTGGAGTTTAATAAGAAAAATTAAATTATTACTTTTACAGAATAATAAGTAAACATAAATTTACTTTATAAAAATAAAATTTAATTCTGATATTATTTCAAATCTATTTATTGAAAATCCTTTTCACGTTAGATAAAAATTTTTTTTTTATATTATTAGTCTTTTGTATTAGCTAGGAAAAATTGTTCGCAACAATAAAATGTAAAAGGTTAAAAATTTAAACAAAACAAAAGTAGAAAAATTGATATAAATTTTGTTTGACCACACTTTTCCTACTAAAAATTCATTCCATGTCTCGCCAAAACATTCTGCTTCTCCTTTGAAGAGAATACTAAAATGCCGAATTTTCAAAGCATATAGGGCGAATTTTCAGTGTGGTTAAGGTGAACTTTTGCCAAAAAAAAAAAAAAAAAAAAAAATGTTAAACCAAACAAAATACAATGCGTGTGGAATGTTAGAAAATATTTCAATGAATATATATATATTGTAATTTTTGGTTTTGAAAAATATTTTAATTAATTGATGCCGCTTTTAAATTAATATAAATTATTTTCCATCAAATTTAGGGACTCATGATTATGTTCTAAAAATCATTAGTTAGAATTTTCTTTTTATGGAATTTCATTTGTCATAATTATTTTTGAGCCGAATTTTTATTTATTTGAATTAGTATTTTGCAGAATTTTCATCAAAACGATTTTCAATATTACAGAATTTTTATATAATCGAAAATTCACTTCACAGAATTTTTATTTGTTCGAATTTTTATTTGTCAGAATTTTAAAGATTTTTTATTGGGTAGAATTTTGTTGCATAGAATTTTCATTCAGATGAATTTTTATTTGTTCGAATTATTATTTTCATCTTCATGGAGGAAGCATTGTAATACCGAAATTTTTCGAATTTGATTTTTTGATGTATCTTCATGTTTTTTGACCTCAGGAATTTAAAAATCACATTTTTGTATAATGTCGTTCCGTGTATATATATATATATATATATATATATATATATATCATACTTCAAACTTAGCAGCGGTTTTTGATATAATTTCCATATAACCAATTTTTCATACTACAGAATTGTTACTTAATCGAAAAATTATTTATCAGAATTTTTAATTGATAGAATTTTTATTTGCCCGAAATTACAAATGTCCGAACAAACAATCGACAGAAAGATTTCGGCGCAATTTTTAAAATCAACCAATCACAATTTTATGGATAATTTTTGATTGGTTAATTTTAAAAATCGCGCCGAAATCTTTCTGTCGATTGTTTGTTTCTGCCATTTGCAATTTCGGATAAATGAAAATTCTATCAATTAAAAATTCTAATAAATGATTTTTCGGTTAAGTAACAATTCTGTAGTATGAAAAATTGGTTATATGGAAATTATATCAAATAATAATTCGAACAAATGAAAATTCATCTGAAAGAATAAAATGAAAATTCTATGCAATGAAATTCTACGCAATAAAAATTTTTTAAAATGTCTATTACATTTAATGAAAATTCGAGCAAATAAAAATTCTGACAAATAAAAATTCTTTAATATTGAAAATCGTTTTGATAAAAATTCTGCAAAATACTAATTCGAAGAAATAAAAATTCGGCTCAAAAATAATTATGACAAATGAAATTCCATAAAATGAAAATTTTAACTAATGATTTTTAGAACATAATCATGCGTCCCCAAATTTATTAAATTTATATAAATGAATTATTTATATGAATGAATTGTTTTAAAACATTTTTAAAATCTTGTGCTTTACATTTTTATTTAAATGATATGTTTACCTTTAACTTTTTTCTGCTGTTGTATTTTTTTTTCTTTTTAATTCTTACTTTTCTTCATTAGAACGTTATTACGCGGCATTTCATTTAATATACATATATTTGTAGCCATTTTTTTAAAAATAATTTTTGAAATTTTTTCATCTCTATTAAAAATGAAAGTTCCTTTTCCTTCCTGTGGAGCATGATTTACGAGCACCTCTATGCCCTATAGTAGTATGTTGTGCATAAAGAATTAAATAGCGACTTGGCAACGTTTCGTGCCAGAAGCTTACTGGTTCGTGGAAAAGTAAGAGATGGCTATTACATGTATAATTACAATAAAAAAAAAAAAAAAAATACGAAAACCATAAAAGTGGAATTTAATCTATATATATGTATATGTGACCCATCACTCGTGATGTTTAGTAAATTCAAAATGTACATCAAATGAATGCACAGAGGATGGCAAATCCAGTTTAAAATCTATTGGAATCCACTTCAATCGTATGTCAACCGTCACAAATTCGATTTATCGTTGAACAAAATGTGAGAGAAGCAAAAGCAGAGACTATGGTGTGGCGTCAGGTTTGCGAATTTCTGTCTTTGCCTGCGTTCCTGGAATTTAAAGCTTTCAATTTACAATAGCTTTGTTGGAGACTGTGCCAAGTAGGTTTTTTTTTTTTTATTTGTTTTCTCCCCTAAAATATGAGAAGTCTTGTCTTTTTTTGTTTAATTTTCTATATTGCTTTAATACATTAATAAATTGAAGAAATACAGTTTATAATATACAACAAGGTTTATATAGCTCATTTATGACTTAAGAAACTAAAATGTTAAAAATACATTTTTATAATATTTAACTAAATTTATGTGCCTGAAGTTCTGAACGTTCAAATGAATGAAAAAATATTCAATATTTAAAGAAGATATTATTGCTTATTTATTATTCTCCGTTTTATAATATTTCTCATATTTGAAATTCTATATGCTATTTCAGGGACAATGTTTTAAGATAAATAATTAGAAGATTACAAAGTGTAAAATCTGCAAACTTGTAAGATATTAATTAAGAGCTTAAAAAGTAAGAAACTAAGTTCGAAATTATTATACTTATGATTTGTTTGATAAAATTTGTTATATCTACAGATCTTATTAATTAATATTTTAATTTTTTAAATGTCAAAATAATTCTAAATTAATTTGTATTTTATTAAATGTGCAATTTAATAAAAAATTAAATTTTTTTTTTTGATTTCAGTTGCTGGATCGTCAACGAGGACATCTTTTGCCAATGAAGAAACAAAATGGATATTTTCTGAATTTCGGAGAAGCAGTAGATCGTCGAGAGCTATATCCACTGTTTTATCTCGAGGAAATTCAGTGGATCCCAGAAATAAGGGCAGCACAAAGATGGAGCATTTCGAATCAAGTACCGAGAACGATTTGACTGACAGTTTCAGTCTAGACACTCGATTGGATTTGGGATTTCCAATGGTCACTGCATCGAATGAGGATAGGGTGCCTTGGCATCAAATGGAATCAGATGGGAATAAAGGTGACAGGGACTTACTAGTCACTGATGTAAAAGTCCACGGGATTTCCCGCTTGTCTTCAACGCCGTCAAATTCTTTATCTGCAAAAGAAATAAAAAACTTTTCACTCAATCCATCCACTCTTCAAATTTCATTACAATCAAGCAAGACAAATTCCATTAATGCTTCATTAATTCCTGATTCTAAGGTTAGTTAAATAAATAATAATAATAATAATTTATTTAACTCGTTTTTTACAGAAAAAATCACATACACATTTACAATATCTCATTAACACGCTCTGACAACAACAAAACTATAAATGAAACGATCTTTTTAATTATATTAAAATTCTCCGAAGACATAATATCAAGCCAACTTTGAATACGGTCCGTTCCATTTATTATCTCAGAAAAATTAAATATACAAAGATGAGAACAAGTTGGTCATTCTAATAGCAGATGATACATAATCCAAATTACAGGACGTACAGATAGAATTTTTCTTAAAAAAATATTGTACAAAATTATCAGCAATAATTCGACATACATACTTATTCAATAATCTGATTTGAGCCATAGTTCGCCCGTGTAGAAATGTCCCTAAGCTTCCCAACGTGATAATGGATTCCGACTAGAACCGCGCTAGAAAATCTAGCCTAGAAAAGTCGTACTCGAACCTGATTAGATTCTTGTGAGAAATTCAGACTAGAAATATCTGCTGAGATCCCGTTTGAATTCTAGAAAGGCAATTCAAACTAGAAAAATCTGATTAAGCCCTTACTAAATTCTAGCCAAAAATACCTCGAATTGGACTTAGATTATTTTTCGATGTTTTCTTTATTTAAAATATGAATTTAATTATGTTCAATAAGGGACACAAATATTTTTAAAATGTTCGTTTTAGAAATAATAATAAAAAGAATAAATATTAATAATAATAAATTATAATAATAAAATTATTAAATAAATTAAATTTATTATTAAATACCACCGAGTGATAGAATCAAAATAATATTATTAATAAATTCCATTATTATATATAGTTTCACTTTTTATTTAATTTAAAAATAATATTTAAATTTAAATCGAAAATATCGAATTCGATGTATCGAAGTTTTCAATATATCGATGTTCCATCGTCGAGAATGATGACATGAATGGTGCAAGTGCACATGTCATTTTGTGTGAACCTGAATTTTATTGTTCTTTTGTTAATTAATAATGGAAAATAATGAGAGGAAAAAAAGCAATCGCGAATGCGTAGCAAACAATATCTTGAGGTGAAATCCGTACACGTTGAATTAAATAGAATGCAATATGTTCAAGAGCAAGTTATGGATATTAACAATTTAGATGACTTAAATCACTTAACTTCTTTATCAGAAGGTAAATATTAACATAATATTATCAATTTAAGAATATTTAATATTAAGCCAACAAACATGAAATATGTACTTAGAATATTAAAAGTAAAAAATATATTGATTGGTTTTCTAACCTCAAATTTTGTCTTTATGTTAATATCATTATTGCAAATTTTTAATTTTTACTATGATTATTCCAATTTCTGCAGGTAATATTATGATTTCTAACTTTTTTTTATTTATAATTCTGGTTAAAATTTGTGTTAGTACTGTTTGGAGGTTAGGAAGTTCAATTAAACTTCACGGCTATAATAAATAGCATAACGGGCGTTTTTAACTCTACAATTTCAAAAACACACACGGAAGAAAGGACGTTGGATCTTTATATAAATATGTTTTTTGGATTTATTAAATATTTATTAATTTTTATTTAATAATAATCGATTAAAGGGAGCTAATAGGGTTCTAGCGAGAACCCTTTACTTCTGGTAGGGAGATCGCAGGGATATCCCTGCTAGATCCCTACCAACATTCCTCGCTGGCGTCGATCGTGACGAAAAATGCCGGGTCCCGCCATAGAGTTTCCCTTCCGGAACCCATCTGGAAAAAGGGACGCACAGCGAGGTCCATATTGAAATCTAACTCAAATTTCTGCACGGGTCTCTTAATTGATAGAGATGATCTATTTTTCAAATAAGATATTTAAATAAATTAATATTTTTTTTTTATATATTTATTTTTATCTAAAATAAGAATATTCATAAAAATTCTATGAATTATTTATACAGCGGTATTTGCATAAAAAAAATTTTAAACTAAAGTTATATCATCTCAAGTTCATATAAGGTATAGATTTCTTAAATGTTCTTCTATTTCTTTGCCTTTTATTGAATAGCATAGTTGCTGTTTGACCTACTTAGAAATCAGAAGCTCGACGCTTTACTCTACAGACGAGTGACTATATTGCTAGGATAGTTGATGCTGTCTATATACACACTATAGTGCACACATCAAAATTAGAACCTGACACCTTAATTTAACTACTAAGATAACAGAGCAGTGATTTGAGATCTATGAAAAGCCTAAATGTTCAAAATTTATTAGTATACATTTATTAGAAGGCTTGGAATTATTTAGCGAAATGTAGCATTTTCTAATACAGCAAATTTTTAAATAATACGATTTTCATTTAACAAAATTAATCCCTAGAAAAGTTTTCATAAAAATTTTTTTCAATTTTTTTTTGCTTTCATTAATTCTTTAAATTTAAATTAAAAATATACTTTTTAATATACCAATCGATTTGTCTTGACGTAAGGAATACGATTTTATTGTATATAATCTTAAATTATTCTATTTACAAATTTTTTCGATTAAAAAAAAATTTTGGAAAAAAGACGGTAAAATTTTTTTTCTTGGGTATTTTTAAAAATTCTTTGGTCAGATTTGAGACATTAATATGATAAATGAGCCTACCAAATTTTATCTAAATCCATTAAAATCTGTTAAAGTTATCGTCTAAACAAAAAAGGGATCCACACACACACATACATACATCCGGACAATTGATCAGGATCTCATATAACATGTTTCTATATAGAGAAAAATTTGTTTCCGACACTTTGAAAAGTTTTATAAACGAAAGGACTACAAAGCTTCCTCCACGAGGAAGCAAAATATATTTTTGGTTTCAGGCTATATAGAATTTTTATTTTTGTAATGCATTGATAATGCATTGATCCAATTTATGAATATTTTTGATGTAACAAAACAAAAAATTCCTCATTGTTTGAACTTTTCTTTTTTAATGTTTGGCTTTAAATTTTTGAAAAAAAATCCGCCAATATTACTGAATGCATGTATACGTATTTTGATGGAAAAATAGTCGAGAGAATACCAAATACTATTGAGAATGATTTATTATAATATTCCAGAAAGCGTGGCTTTTACTACAAAGTACAAAAATGTAATGTGTGTGTGTATGTGTCGATTAAAGAGACATCTATGATTGATTGGCGCGAAAGAGACATAACTTTAAAAAACAGAATATGGTTTAAATTGAATATTTAACACTCCGCCTCAATTAAAAAAAACTGATTCAAGTCTTTTAATTTAAAACACACGTAGTCCCAATTCGCTTGTACATTTTGCATGTTTGGCTGCCGGAAGAGCTTTGGTCAGGACGTCTGCTGTCATATCTTCGGTAGGAAGGTACATCAGTTTGAGAGGGTATTCTTGGATTGCGTTTCGGATAAAATGGTGTCGAATGCTTATGTGTTTCGATCTTGCATGAAACACAGGGTTACTGGCGAGTTTACCGGCTGATTGATTATCGTTGAATATGGTGATTTTTGACATATCCTTGAGATTCAATTCGCCTAGTAATGTACTGATGTAAATTCCTTCTTTTGCTGCTTCGCTGAGACTCAAATACTCCGCCTCGGTCGATGAGAGTGCAACGTTCTTTTGTTTTCGGGAACACCAGGACACTGCTCCGCCTGACACGATGAAAGAATATCCTGAGTAGGATTTTCGGTCCATTGGACAATTTCCCCAGTCAGCATCCGCATATCCAATGACTTCCTTGTTATTTCGCGTGTAGATCAGCTTCATATTTGCTGTTCCTTTTAGGTAGCGTAAAATTCGTTTGCCTGCCTCCCAATGATGTCGTCCATGATCATTGTTAAACTGGCTGAGAAGGTTCACGGCATGAGCGATGTCGGGACGAGTCCCGATTGCCAAGTAAGAAAGAGCTCCAATTAATTCCCTGAATGGAAGAGAAGTTGTCTTCTCGGATGGTGATGGTTTTTCCAGTTTAGTTCCACAGACAAGAGGAGTCTTTACCGGTTTGCATTCAGTCATGTTGAACTTGGATAATAATTCGTTTATGTATCCTGTCTGACATAACGTTACCTGGTCTTGCGATTGATGAATTTCAATTCCTAAGCAATAATTTGCGGCTCCTAGATCCCTGACATCAAAGTGAGATGAGAGATTTTTCTTGATTTTGTTCACTTTCGTTTCAGTTTTCGAGATGAGTAGGATGTCGTCCACGTAGACAAGTACATATATTGGATCGTCTTCATTTTCGTCAACGTAGAGACAAGTATCAGAGTTCGGTGGTTTTAGATCCATTGATCTTAGAATTTTATCTAATTTTGCGTGCCATCTGCGACCTGATTGTCGTAATCCATAAATAGATTTTCGGAGTTTGCATACTTTGTCTCCGGTTTTCAGATCGTTGAGCATTTTTCTGGCCTTTTTGAGAATACTTTCGTTCTTTTCGGTTTTGACAATTTCCTCGAGAGATTCCTTCAGCATTTCGGGTATTTTCATATACAGGAGAGTATCGATATCTCCGTTTAAGTATGCTGCAGTTATGTCCAGTTGATAAATTTTTAAGTTGAATTTGGCTGCGAGAGCTGTTAAGAGTCGAAACGATTCCAATCGTGCTACCGGGGCGAAAGTGTCAAAGAAATCAATTCCGGGTCTCTGGGAGAACCCTTGGGCTACCACCCTGGCTTTTCTCCTGCTAATGGTTTCATCCGGATTATATTTATTTCGCAGCACTGTTCTGCAACCGATGATTTTTTGATTGGATGGCCGATCGACGATTTCCCACGTGTTATTAGCTATTAAGACTTTGGTTTCTTCATGAATAGCTGTCATCCACTCTCCACGATCGGTTCCGGTGATCGCATCCTTCAGGGACACTTCTGATACATTTAGGGCAAAGTTGACGTCAAAGAATTCGTCATTACTATTGCTTGAACTATTGCTAAGAGTTTCAATTTCCACTGTATTTTCTGATCCACGGGAAGGTGATGAATTGTTCGTTAGGTCTTCGAGATCAATTCGATTGTCGAATCCGAGAAATGGTGATTCAGTGTCCGATAAATGTTCCGGTTCTCGTTGAAATCCGAGAAATGGTGATTCGGTGTCCGATAAATGTTCCGGTTCTCGTTGAAATCCGAGAAATGGTGATTCATCGTTTATTGAATTGTCCGGGTTTACTCGTTCTTCAAGATTGGGTGGGCGTTGCTCATCGACTATGGGTATTAAATTTCTATTGATGGGTTCAATTTCGACGATTTTTGGACTGTCAGTTGACTTGATATCGACTTTTGACTGTTCTATGAGATCTGCCCCCTTCAAAAGTGAAGAATTATCGTATTCTGGTTCAAAAGAATCGAGGAATTTTACATCTCTTGACAAAACGATTTTTCTCTGCTCCGGTATCCAAATACGGTATGCCTTCGATTGATCCGCATAGCCGACGAAGGTCCCCTTTATCCCTCTTGGATCGAACTTTCCTTTAGTGGGAATTTTGTCCAAGATAAACACTTTTTCGCCGAATGTTCGCAGGTTTGAGATATCGGGCTTTTTTCCTGTCCAACGTTGATATGGCGTTCCATCTTCGATCCCTTTTGTGATGCAACGATTTCGTATGTAGTTAGCGGTGGCAATTGCTTCTGCCCAAAAACTGAGAGATTTTCCCGACTGTAATAACATGCAACGAGCGGCCTCAACGAGCGTTCTATTCTTGCGTTCAGCAACGCCGTTTTGTTGCGGTGTATGCGGTACGGTAACGCGATGGTGGATTCCGAACTTTTTTAACATGACACTTAAACTTTGATTAATGTACTCGCGACCGTTGTCCGATTGAACGGCTTTGATTTTGTGTCCTGTTTGGTTTTCCGCCATATTTTTAAACTCTACAAATTTGTCGATAGCTTCGTTTTTCTTCCGGATAAAATACACTTGACACCACTTACTATAATCATCGATGAACGTTACGAAATAAAATTTCCCTCCGAGAGATTCATTTCTCATCGGCCCGCACAAATCGGTATGAATCAATTCCAAAGGTACTTTCGATGAATTTTTTCTTTTTGGAAACGGTGTACTTGTGAATTTTCCGGATAAACATGTTTCACATTTGCTCAAGTCGGTCGAAACGTCAAATTCGAAACCGGTCGCATGTTTGTTTTTGAGCATGTCGATCATGTCCTTTTTGTTTAAATGGCCGAGACGATCGTGCCATATTTCGGCGTTACTTTTCGTATTTATCGCGACACTCGCGATATTTATTTCGGTCGGTTCTTTACATAAGTAAAATAAATCTCCAAATCGGTTTGCTGTCAGTTTGATTACCCCCTTCGCGTCCGAAATAGTGCAACAATTTTTCTTGAAGTTGACTTCGTAGTCATTGTCGACGATTTTTGACACAGAGATCAAATTTGTTCTCAAGTCTGGCGCGTATAAAGTATTTTTTAGATTTACCGAGCTTTTCGAATTACTTACGTCGAATTTTGCGTTTCCTTTCGCGATTACCGGTGTCGTAGCACTACTCGCGAGTTTTACGTGTGATTCCGTTTTAACGATGTCGGTAAAAACACTTTTGTCGTGACTTAAATGAGAACTGCATCCGCTGTCGATGCACCACAGATCACTGGTATTTTGGGTTATATTCAGGGTAAAGAAACAGAGCGATGTTTCTGCTACACTCGCGGATTGGTTTTCATATTTTTGTTTATGTGTGCACTCACTTATTTTGTGTCCTTTTCGACCACAGAAATTGCACTTTCCATTAAACTTTGGGTTTTTATTCGAATTACGCGTTCCTTCGTTTAGATTCCCGGTGGTTCGCGGACCGAGGTTTCGAGTTCCGATGTTTCGCGTTTCGTCTTTCGTCTTGTACGAATTTCGCTTCGGATTTACGAACATGGCCGAATCGTCTTTATCTTCCTTTCGTTGTCTGGCGTTATATTCCTCCATGATTTTAATTTTGAGGCTGTCGGGATCTGGCAGCTTATCGCGGGATTCAATTGCGCAGCGGAAATTTTCGAAGCTGCTTGGAAGGCTGTATAATAATATAATGGATAGAAAATCTCCGTTTATCTCAATTTCCATAGATTGAAGCTTGTCAACTACATCGAAAAATTCGCCGAGGTGCTGCTTAGCGTCGTCTCCTTCCGCCATTTTATGTTGTATAAGTCGTTTGAGAAGAGTGGCTTTTCTGGCAGGCCCTTTTGACGCGTAGATTGTTTCAAGCTTGGTCCAAATTTGATGGGATGTGACGCATCCTTTTATTTGTTTTAGTTCTGGAGGATTGATACAGAGTATGAGGTCTGCTTTGGCCTTTTGGTCGGCTTTCAGCCATGCTTTGTGTGCGGCTTCACCGGCTTCTCGTCGTGCTTCATCTTCTGGAATTTCGGGTTGTGGTGTTTCTCCTGAGACGTAGGTCCATGTGTCATTTTTTATGAATAGAGCTTCAGCTTGTATCCTCCATGTGTCGTAATTATTACGCGATAACATTTCGATTCTGATGGGGTTCATGTTTCCACCTGCCGCCATTTTTAACCGATTTGAGGTTACACTTTAACACTTTTCGAATTAACTTATTTTCAGATAGAAACGACACTCCCGGAATTGTTTTTACATAACTCGAATTAAAGTATTGTTTTCGCGGGACCTGGGCCCATAACCTGATGGAAAAATAGTCGAGAGAATACCAAATACTATTGAGAATGATTTATTATAATATTCCAGAAAGCGTGGCTTTTACTACAAAGTACAAAAATGTAATGTGTGTGTGTATGTGTCGATTAAAGAGACATCTATGATTGATTGGCGCGAAAGAGACATAACTTTAAAAAACAGAATATGGTTTAAATTGAATATCTAACATATTTCTATTGACTTCATTTTATCCATTGTTAAAACTTTTATCTATAGTCATCATATCTCGTCTGTTAATTTGTTTTTTAACAATTTATTAAACTTTAAATTAATTATTATTGAAATTCTTTCTATTGTTTATCGACGAAATTATTTTGATGTTTTTCATTATATAAAGCTTTTTGTTAAAATTACTTTTAAATTTTTGAAAAAAAATACAAAATTTTTTGTTAAATTTGCTTTTCTTAAAAAATTAATATAATTCTAACTGTTTCTTGCGTGATTTAATATAGAAGAAATAATTCGATAACGTCACCTTTCTAAAAAAGCTTTATGTTTCCTTTTTGTTTCTTCACAACTTTTTTTGTTATTTTTGAAAAATGGAGATTTAAAATTGATTATGTATATAGAAATTATATTTTTACTGTCAATTATTAATGAAATTTATAATTAATATGCATTTATAAAAATAGAAACAATAGATATGATTTTTTTATTTTTCAGCATGTTTCTTCGATATTACCACCAAAAGTGTCCTTTGAAAATTGGATGAGCCGACATCTCCCTACAACTTCTGTGCATTCAACTGAAATTGGTTTTTCTCGTCGACGTATGAGAGAAACAGACAAGAATCAAGAGTGCGCAAAATTCGTCGATGACGGTGAAAAACAGGAATTTTTCAGTCCTGGCTATCCTGGAAAATATCCTGGAAAAATCAAATGTGTTCGAGTTATACAAGGTTAGTATCTAAATATTAATAAAAATTGAATAATTTTTAATAAAATAAATGATTTGTAAATATTTTGGATCGCTAATAACGAATTTGAAATCAGATTTTGAAAATGCAAAATATCGGATCCAATATAGTGGATTTTCTTTTAAGTTATTATTTTTTAGACGAATTTTCATTTTTCGCATTAACATTTAACATAATTTATTTTTAAACGAAATTTTTACTTTACAAAATTTTTAGATACAAATTTTTTCGTACCAATTTTTTTTATTTGACAGAATTTTTATTTTGCAGACTTTCTCTTTACCAACGTTTTATTTAAAAAAAATTCTAATTTAACCAAAAATTAATTTATCAGAATTCTCATTCAACAAAATTTGAAAGAATTTTTAAAACTCCAAAATTACAAATGGCTAGACAAATAATCTACCAATCAGAAATCAGCCAGAAAATTGTGATTGGTTAATTTTAAATATCGCGCCAAAATATTTCTGTCGATTATTTGTCAGCCATTTGCAATTTCGGACAAATGGAAATTCGGGTGTTTTAAGAATTCTATCAAATAACAATTTTTGCAAATAAAAATTCTTTTTAAATAAAGATTCAGGGAATAACAAATTCTTCTATTTAAAAAATTGAATTATTTAAAATTTTGTTGAAATTAAAATTCGGCTAAATTAATATTTGGTTAATTTACAATTTTTTTGATAAAAAAAAGTTGCTAAAGGAAAATTCTGTTAAATAAAAATTCGTTGAAAAAGAAATTCTGCTCAATAAGAATTCGTTGAAAAAGAAATTCTGTCAAATGTTAATTCGAAAAATGAAAATTTGTCTAAAAAGAAACAATTATATCGAATAAAATTCTTTGAAATGACAGTTTTAACTAATAATTTTTATGCGATATTCTTGCGTCCGAAAATTCGTTTTTTAAAATTTATTTTTGCTTGAAACTCATGACATTACTTGGAGTAACTAAATTCAATGTTAATATTAGAATTTCTAAATTCAGAATAATGATAACAAAATTTAAAAGTTTATAACTGAAAATACTATATTATAGCACAGGCCGACAAAATTTTGTTGACTAAAATGTTACAGCCGATTCTTATAGGATTTTTGCCGTAGAATCCGAATTTGACCTTGAAAATATCCAATTGGCTCTAGTTTTCGAGCAACAAGAGTTTTAAAGTGCCAAAAAGAGCGTTTTTGGCATTTTTTGCACAGCTGTAAAACAAAAAAATTAAAATGTTCTACATACGATGAAATGAAAGCTCAAACATTGCTTTTTAAGATCCAATATCAAAAAATTTTATATCAGATGATTTAAACACGAAAAGCTTGCAACGTAAGCTTGCAAAGCTTTGTACATTGCGCAGTAGAATTGTATTGCACTTAAGGCTGCGCAGGTTACAGTTTTATCTCACAGACATTGTCTTCAATGTACGTTTACAAAAAAAAATTTTTTTTCAAGATGCAAGCTTGCAGTGGTAAACTTCTGAAAGTTTACTTCGCAAGCTTTTTGGTTATTTTAGGTAGCTCGACATAATGATAAAGTTTTGCTGTCTTTTTTTATACTTTATTGTCATATTTCACTCACACTGTAAGTCAAAAACCTGTTCTAAGTTGTTTTAATTGTTCAAAACGAAGTTGTTTGATTTTTGATATTAAAAAGCAATTTTTAAACTTTCATTTCATCCTGTGTAGGGCATTTAATTCTCTCACGTTTTTGTTTCATAGCTGGGTAGCGATTATGTATTTTGATTTACCTTTGACGTCAAAGTCATTTTCATTTTGACTTCGTAGTTAAATGTCATTTTACATAGTTTTACGTAAAATGATTGTTTTGATTTGTCAAATTGTAATAACCACAATTTTGAAGTATAATTACTTTTTTCCCTTTATTAAAAATTTAAGAATAAAAATTTTATTTAGGAATTAAATGATGAAAAAGTGAAGTAAGTAATTTTAAAAAGATCAAGACAGCATTACAAGGATTTTTAAAAAAACTTTTCTAACTTTAACAAACTAAGTAAAAGTGAGAGGTTAAAAAAATTCTAATTTATGAAATATAATTAAAACATTAATATTATTTTATTTATTTATTCATTCACATATGTTAAGAGGAAAAATTGAAAGAATTATTTAAATATTACTATTTATATATAATTAATTACAGTTTAAATAAACGTAATCGTTAATTTTTATTTACACAAATATAAATAACAGTCTCGTTACTGAATTTATGTTTAGGAATTAATTGCAATTACATTATGCCAAAAAATTGAGTATTTTTAATAATAATTTATGTTGAGCATTTTCTATTTTAAATTACATCAATAAATTATGTACAAAATGTCAATTTGCTCAAAACAGTAGGAAACTAATTTAAGTTAAAATTATTTTAGGAAAAAAATATTTCATCGGTCAAATGTAAGTAATTTTTTATGTTTTGAATTATCTTTTAAACGACATAATTTCTTCTTTAGTTTTTGATTTTTTTGTTTATTTTTTTCTGACTACATTTATAAAAATGAAAGTAAGGCATTATTCAAAACAATTATAACATATCCCTGGTTTCAACATTAAAAAATACTTACCGTTGACAGATGAAATAATTTTTTATTAAATAATTTTAACCTAATTATTAATCTTTTAAAAATTCCTTAATTATGCCGCTTTTTTAACTGTTTAAAATTACTTACTTTACTTTTTTATAATTTAATTCCCAAATAAATTGTGGATATTACAATTTGACAAATCAATACAATCATTTTACGTAAAACTACGAAAAATTATATTTGACTACGAAGTCAAAATGAAAATGACTTTGACGTCAATGTTAAATCAAAATACATAATCACTACCCTGTGCAAAAAAAGGCCAAAAACGCGTTTTTTTGCACCTTAAAACTCTCGTTGCTCGAAAACTAGAGCCAATTGGATATTTTCAAGGTCAGATTCGGATTCTACGGCAAAAATCCTATAAAAATCGGCTGTAACATTTTAGTCAACATGAAGTTGATAAAATTTTGTCGGCCTTTGTAATTTATAGAAAAAATCTTATAATTTTTTTTTATCGACGCGTTAAAAGATTATTAAAAAAAATTTAGTTTTCTCTTTATATATATTGTACTTTTCGATGTTAGAAATCCTTCTCTGCTTTATTATATAATGTTTTATTCAAAAAGTCGCTTATTTCTCTCTGACTCTCTGTGTGAATTAACTTTTACGTACCAAAGGTAAAACTATTGAAACTCAGATTCATCATCACTTGTTTCGAACTTTGAAGGAACACTCTCTCTCTCTCTCTCTCTCTCTCTCTCTCTCTCTCTCTCTCTCTCTCATTCTGCTTGAACTCAAGACTAAACTCTCTTGAAACCGGAAGTACTTTCTACTGGTAGAAGTAGCGTTGAAACAATTTATAGGGATGTATTAAAATTTCTAACTTCGATGAAATATGAACGAGCTTATAATTGACTGGGAAAATGTAATTATATCAAATTTAATTGTACCTACTACAAGGGATAAAATGCCAAATTCATTTCATAATAATACTTGTACAACTTTTACAATAAAATTCAACAATTTTAAATGATCCAATATTTCTTTTCAATAATTAATTAACAATGCATAATAAATTGAAAACAATTTTAACTTTATAAAGTATATTTTAAAAGGACTGCTCAATAAAATTGGCAATATTCGTTTTGATTTTTTTTTTCTTTAATAAAAATTCATTTTTATATTTCATTGAGTGATTTGATTTAATTTCAAAAGAATATTTAATATGAAAAATGGCAATTTTTTTTTGTGCTTTTTATTTTTTGTTCCACTTACATTGAGATTCATTTTATTGAATAAAAATTATTTTTTACAAGATCAGGGAGATTGTAAATTTTTTATTTTTTTTTTTTTCAACAAAAATTCATTTACATTCCATTCACTGATTTGACCTATATTATCGAAATAATATTTAAATTGACAAAATTAAATTTTTTTTATTCAAAATAATTGCCTTTTATTTTTCGTTTAATCGAGATTTTTTTTTTTCAAAATTCAAAAATCTAGGAAAATAATTAATTTTTTTGAAAATTTATTTATTTTGCAAATTTCAAAATATGTAAATAAAATAAATATGATATTTATTTGTAATAATAATGGTTTTTTCTTTAATGCTTTCAAAACGAATCAATATATCGAAGTATTTATGAAAAAAGAGCTTGAAAAAAATGCAAAGCATTTACCGTTGTCGGTTCAGTGGTTCGTAAAGAGTTCATTGAATAATATTCCTTATAGAACCCACAAAAACTCTAAAGTTACCTTAAACTAAGTTGGAACTCCCGAGCGCTTCATGTTTTATGATAAAACATTTCAATACTGAAATGGCCAGAGAGACAGAAAAAAAAGGATAAATGAATTATCTCCAACTCGAAGGATACTTTGGCTTTAGCAGGGTTATAAATTTTTTTACTAATACACAATTCTAGTAATGAAAGTTAAAAAAGTAAATCATAAGGTCAACGATTTTCTGCAGTTAAGTCAAAATGCTTTTTTTACCCCACCTTTATCCATATATCTTCCGATTTTATTAAAAAAAAAAAAAAGAAGTACAAAAGTTTTTTCTTAAGTAGAGAATAAAGACGATAAAAAAGTCAATAACTAAAGTTATAATTAAAATATTTATTCTGATATTAAATTTCCTTTTTTTTTTAATTTTCTGTATTAAACTATAAATTCAGTAAAATGAGAAATATATATATAATTTTTAAAAAGTATATTGTAATAGAATTTGCAGAGAGTGCTGATATATTAATCAAAGTGCAGCAATTTATTTCTATCGAATCATTACACCATCTGATTTCTTAGTGATTACCTTTTTACTAACGCTATTGGGTCAATGTAGTTGCCACCTTTTTACTTCGGACCACTCTTTCTTTTCTTTTTTTTTTTCTCTCTCCTTATGCGGCTCTCGTTATCGCTTTGAAAAAAGAAATAAAACTGAACGAA